CTATAGGCGTTAAACGTGCCATTTTGTTGCACATAGTGCGAACGTATCTAATAAAACGCTTTGATTATCCGGCAAGCGAAATCATCTAACTCGTAACGCCTTCATCTTCTGGACTTCACAACTTCATGCCATAACCTGAATTTCTAAGTGTTTATTAGATAGGTTGGATGACTGATCAATTTCTTGACAAAAGTAAGCTGTGGTCTTGTTATTTTGCTTTTATCAAAGCCAGTACTACTAAGTCTGGATTTTGAACGCCTGAAGCTGATGGTTTTGGTGAGGCGTTGTATAAATAAGCCGTAGGCAACACGTTCAAACTGAGTGGCTTTATCTATCCTGACTTGAATTTTACTGCTGGTCACCTGCAGAAGTCAAAAACAATACACACTTCATTTGTTTTCCTAACAGTAATCACTGGTAAAACACCTTCTAAAGCACTATGTCATTGAGCTCTTTTGTTGTAAATAAAAATGAGCCAGATGCTTAGGATGTGGGTCGGCCGATAATTATGCTTCATCGGACGGTGTTTATGCATTCCGAGACTTCAGTGTCATTTCTAGTGAATAAGTTGATATCACAAATATCTACCTGAAAATATGTTTTTCATGTTACATTTACTGCAATTTACGATTATTCATTTTACGAAGTAAACGAATAGAAGCATCTAGGTGTATTAAGATGAGGATAGTCGTTTGCGTCGTTTGTAGAATTGTTCTCGGTTTCCTAATGCATTTGCATGTTCACCTACCTCTTTCCTTGTTGTTCGGCATAATAGATCAGGAGCCAAAAACACGGGACTTAGCAGGGCTACTCAGGCGTTCAGAAAGCACGAAATTAAGCGAAGCAAGCCATTGTAAAGGTATTTCCGACATAGGGCGCAAGGTAGTTTCCATTTTGGTTGCGGCCGTTACTACTGATTTAATGGCTTTTATCTCGGACTGCATCCTGGTTGTACCTGGTACCACGTATCGCTATAAGAAAGCAGATACGATAACATAGTTCAAGTGATACTAGATATCTTGCTGGACATGAGTACTGGTCAACCGCTGAGACGAATGATATCAAATACTCCGTTTATAACAAAAGCTCGTCAGAAGGCAAATATTTCCCCTGGATGTTGCATAACATTCGTAAATACCGCTGACCTTTGTTCATTTAATTGCGTCCAGATGTTCAAAATTAATGTACAAAACAGCGAGTTGGTCACAAGCGATGACACTTCGGAGTTATGTGGGGGTGAATCGTTGCATTCCATAAAGATAGAAATCCGTCATTTGAGATACTAAATTAATCAAATATTTACAAACTGGAAAATCGGAATTCCTAAATTGTGATAACATTAAAAAGTCGTTTCCATTTTCTGAGATCAAGTACAGATTAATCGGTGCAAGATGATGAACTTAACTGTGGATGATCGCCTGCAGTTTTTATAGGGATATTTCAGCTGCTACGCGTAACTAAGCTTAGGTGAATACCAAATTGAAATCTCACGCGGATGAGCCGCACTATAGTCCTGTTAGCTAGCTACCAGTCGATTGGCTACTCATAGTTGGTAATGAGTAGACGGCGACTTGGAATCTAATTGCGATAAACCAACTCGAATCATAGCCAAATCCGTCTACTCATTACTAATCAAAAAGCTAAGCCCTACCAGTGTTCAAAGTTGCTGTGTGGCTTCACGGCGCTGGCAAGGGAAGACCTGACCGTAACGCCCAACCACTGTCCTCTGCGCGGGCAATAACCTGCACAGCAGTGGAGGATGGGTCGGGTTATATCGCAATTAGGTTTCAATGCGCAATGGTCGGTTGTCGTCCCACATGGCTCAGTGGCATACGATGCTGGCTAGTTGTCGTTAGTCACTAGCGGCCATGGGTTCGATTCCCACTAGGGAGCGATGGATGCGCACCACCGACGAGCCCCAATAGGGCGAAACGCACGTCTGTAGCTTACGTAGGTGGATTGAAATTTAATTGCAATGCACCAACTCGAATCATGCTCAGGGTTAAGCTAACGGCTTATTATCCATAAGTAAAGCGAAGCTGTCTTATAATTAATTCGATTCAAATTATGCAGTATTCATCAGTCACCAAACTCCGTACAAAGAACACTCGGAGCTGAAAGCAAGCAAATATTGCAATCAGCGTGCAAATTCCATTCTCAGATGGCCACTAACACAAATTGATAAAATTAGTTAAATGGCAATAACAGAGATGAACTAATTGCAACCATTACAAACTCTTGACGAACGGAGTTATCGTTTCCAGGTACGGAATTAACAACTTACTAAAGCAAGGTTAGTATGATCATAAGGTTATTTTGTCTGTACCATAAAGAGCAATATGGATATTCATCCAGTTTCTGTTTATCACAGCTACTCCAGGTCAAGTAATCATCACAGATCGGGGAAAATCTTTAAGTTTTCTTGCAACCACAGGAAGCACGAGGTCTCAGCAAATCAGGACCTAGTCCATTGATGATCTTGAAAGACTTGTGAGGGTTTTGGCATAAAGTGCAATCAAGTAAGTGCCGAGCAAACAAACTGGCTGGTACTTTAGGACCACCTGTCGTTAGGCCTAGAGGAATGTGCTCGTAATCCTGGTAAACAGCTTTCTCTTATTTCGGTCAAGATATACGCTGCCGCATCTACATTTATATTGCAAACAAAGGAGGAAGAACTTTGAGAGATCTACCTAAATTGGGCTTATGCAGCAACATCCTGGTGTAATGTGGCAGTAGTAGTAGCTTAGCTGCGTAAGGTTGATATTTATTGATAAGCAAATTCGTTGGACCTACCTTTTATTTCGTTGAAACTTATACCCCCTAATTTAACGACTGCATATTATTCTCCTGTTATTCTATTGATCACCAGTGGGCCGATCTTCTGAGGTGATTGTTTGCAGCTTCCAAGTAACATGTATACCGACGCCAAAAGACGCAATGGTGAATATAAATAGTGTGCAGAAATAAAAATACAGTCCAATCTGAACTGCTGAAATCACACGAAATGGCATATGACGCCAAGCGGTCATCCCGGACATCATTCAAGAAAAAATCTATGAATGACGAAAGGGTTGACTGGCTTGAGTAATCTCTAACCAAAAAATTAACCAAATGATGAATAAAATCGGTAGTGGCCTGTTGGCTTTTAAACCATAGCGATACATGACCAGATGGGGCGTAGTGTGGGTGAAACTCTAGAGGGAAACGGTTTCACGGAGGACCGGATTACTTCGGTTGTTCTTTTTTACCCTACTTCATTCTGCATTGTATCAGTTGTGCTCCTGGTTACTCGTTACTTCATCTCTACCTTATTACTGTTTTACCGATATTTTCCATTACTTTATTCCTTGGATCATATTGTTAATCTTAATTGTGGTGCCTTTCCCCTCTACCACTACAGCAAAATCGGTTAACTAATGTACACTTCTTTAATCACCCTATCCTGGGCATCTTCTACAAGAGTACGGTAAACTGAATAGTGAATAGACATTTATTCCTTTGCTTATTTATCCGTTTAATTCTCTCTATTCAACATTACCGTTTCCGTACACTGTCACGTACTCCCAAAATATCCACCTAAAAGTGAAGACTGAAAGTAATGCAACTGAACTCGCCTAGCATCCCAACCATCTAAAAGCCAAAAACACAACTTGCTCAGTTCGATCTCATAATTAGACATAGGAAAGTCTAGACACCACGCTGTCTTAACTCCCTACGATGCGAATACTGTCTATATTGTCCTGCTAAAGCAACGAGTTTAATGATCCACTAGAGTTACCTTTAGATAATCTTATTTTCGCGACTCCCTAACTTGCTACTCACAATCAGCTCCAACTGTATTACTCCAGTATGTTAAGTAAGACTGTGTAGTATTATATGCTTTTGCTTATTGACTCTAATTGCTTCATCCTTTTCGTGCTCCTTTCCCCCATCAAAGCGCCGCCATCATGGCACCGCCAAGCTGCACCGAAAACAACCAGTGAGAGTGCTCGCGAACTGGTAGCATACGGTGACAAAACCTATAAGGTTCTCTGCCGTGTACAACAGTGCATGCCCTTGGACCAACCTTCACTTCCACGGTAGTGTTTGCACACTACAATTCGACATGCAATCAAGCGCTTCTCGTTGGATATTGATTTCGGTTTTCTTGCTTTCACCCTCATGCACCTGCTTTACCACCGTGACGATCAGGGAAATCGTGTCTACACAACGAAGCACTTGGATCCTGAGGGGAAAACAACAATATATACGCATCCAGCTAGATACAGTCCAGAGGATCGATACTCTGGGCATAGAATTACGCTGAAGTTGCGATTCAACGTTTGCCCACGCAGTAGGCACCAACGGTGTACTAACTCAAATGCATCCGCAATTTCAGTAAGTATATTTACAGTTGCTAAAAAACGTGGCTCGTCACATTCGATCGTCGCTCCCTTCGAAGTTTAGCTCATGTCTGGTGGGAGCACCACGTGAGCAATGAGGATGTTCGGCGTCGAGGATTTGGTGCAGCAAGAGCGAGAGAACCGCTTAGCACCACTATATAAAGCAGGCTCCGATGGATGAGGCACGTGTTGCACATGGCAGCACACCGACTCCCGCGACGTGCATTGTTTGCGCGCCAGGGGTGCGGTTGGGAAAAACGGAGGGGAGGCCAACCGATGACTTGGTCGAGAGGAATGAAATCCCTCACTTCGAATTTGTCGTCGGTTAGTGCATACCGACCGCCTGGCTGGGGTCCTAAGGGCGATGGACACGTGTGTTTGGACACACTTGCTGATATGGCTAGGAGCCGGCCCCAGTGTCGTTTGTGTTGTGAGTTCCTTTGTCCATCTCCCTCTTGCTTAGCATCCCCTTCTAAATATGACCCTACTGGTTGGAAATAATATAACTTGTTGCGGCACAATAGCCGGCCGTTAGCTCTCCGGAACGATGTCCATCCATTACTGGGAACTCAGCCGGCGTGCCACTGTCTGTTTTTCTTCTTCGCCTTTTTGTCTTTTGTATTGCGGCACAATAACTGAGGTGCTTTCCACCTGCTGCTAATGTGTATAATGAATGACGCTGTAGTACACAAACCATTGTAAGCGCCGTCTGTCTGAGCACGTTGAAACATAAATATTATCCGACCGCTTGTAGGCTCGGTTTCCCGGTACCACGAGAAATTCAACTTATTATTGTTCCCCATTGAATGACAGTGCAAGCAACTACTTTTACTTGGAAATATTGGATCACTTTTCTTAGCGGACATTCGTCTCCGCATGGCTGTTAGAAACTTAACCGAGGCACCAGTTTCTATCTTACTTCAAAGCGATACGCTGCAATCTAGTCATGAATCATATAGTTGGATGAACGGTAAATATTGAAATCTCGATACTGCATCGGGTAACTTCTAGCAGCCTGAACCAGTGCTAACTGAGGTCTTCACGAACCAAACAGATAATAGGTGCTTACGGCATACCATAGGCCGAAGCATTTGTACACCCGTAATATAGATGAAAACTTGGTCAATGATAATGCTCAGAGAGCATAAAGGATGTTGAAAGCGCAAAACCAATGTCACTTTGGGATAAAGTTCGTGATGGAACGCATGTGAAATGGTACAATTAGTTTTTTGATGCCGCTTAAAGGGATAACTAGATGGCTAGCTCGTACCAGCGAAGTACTAGAACTGAATTGGAAGCAGTAATGACTAACTTGCAACAGCTATTGTCCAGCGAACTTTATGCGATTCTTAGTTCGAAACTGGTTCATGAGAACGCATTAAAGCTGCTCGGAAGTGTCAGTCACCTGCTAGTTACAGCGTAATGTATAAAACCTAAGTGATTACTACCTCAGCAAACGTATCATCAGATCGTGAAAAGCGAATAGCCGGTAAGAAAACGATCCAAACTTGCGCAGTAAAAGGTACTCATTAGACTAACTTGCAATGGGGAACAAAATGATAAAAGTTTCGGCCATCCACATATATGATTCATTAAGTGACGTTGTTTTCCAACACCACACCAGGATTTTACTGCATGAGCTCGATTTAGGTGGATCTCTCTCTCTCAAAATACTGCCTCCTTTTTTGCGACATAAATGTAGCTGCGGCAACATATACGTCGACCGAAATGAAGGAAGGCTGCCGACCAGGAGTAGGGAGCACATTCCTCGAGGCCTAACAACATGTAGTCCTAAAGTACCAACCAGTTCGTTTGCTCGGCACTCACTTGACTGCACTTTGTGCGAAACCCTAGTTAGTCTTTCAAGGTCATCAATAGACAAGACCCTACAAACATGTTCCTATTTCCTGAGGCCTTCCCTATGATTGCGTTCACTGGGTACATTGCGCTGTACAGGGCAGAACTGAGGCCCCATGATTGCAACCTTACCTACGAAAACAACTTGATCTCTTGGCCGGCCTAATCTTGCTATGGTAACCCGCTAGTTCCATCTCCGGAAACGTTTACGCCGATCGTCACATACTCTATTTGTCTTCAGCTGTCGATCCAAATCCCTGGTTTTCACATCATATTATGGTTTTAGGCAACTGACTAAACTGGAGTACTCCAAGTGAACTGTGTTCAGCTAAAGCGTGTAATGCTCTTTGTTTATGTTTGCTCTGTATTTGATTCAACTTGCATATTCGTGATGAGTGGTAGCATTCTGTTGACCGTGTAGGTGAAAAACGTCTCAATTAGGGTGCTTAATCAAATGGAACCCACTCATACTGTTATTCGTCTTCCATTTGCAGTGCACTTACCCATAATTTGTTTGCTTATTACCTCCTTCACTAAAAGCTCATGCAGCAGAGAGATGATTGCTCCATATTAACCATGTATATCACGCTAACAGTTTCCATGTTAGCTGCATATTGCTTTCCCTTTTAAATGCCAGTCAAGATGACATTACTAGCCTAATAAAACGAAACAATTCATATATATGGCGCACACCATACCAAGTATACTACTGGGACAACATGACAATGACTGGCCGAGTGTTCACTCTCTGAACACACTGTCCATGTTGAAAAACTTAGCATTTCTGGGCCATTCCATTTTTAATTAAGATAAAGTCCATTTTAAACATAAATCTCAAACTATTTTTACTTCCGTCTGGGCTTGCAAGGAATGAAACTTCAAACGAGCTAATGTACGATTAACTGCCCAACTTATCAAGGCTTCATGTCAAGCACCAAAGGTACTTATGACCACGGCAGCTAGACGCCATCATATAACAACCAACCTGCAGTATCTGTTTATTAAAACACACACAGAAAGAGAGAAAAGCTAGTGAACTCCTTTCGATCACTATTTAGAATTCAGTAAAAAGGTTATATAAAGCATGGTACTATAGCTGACTGATGGACTGGTAACCAGATCTACACAGTGAGTATTTTGGCAGCCCTCAAAACCTTCATACAATTACACAAAATAAATTCCTGAGATAAAATCACAGAGGTCTCTGAAGTGAATCACTCCACCAACGCTTGGCTAATAACAATGCATCTGGTGTATTAGTTCTGGTGCCATGCTATGCGGACCGAGTGTCACAGCAACAGCGCAAAATAGATATTAAACACACAAGAGGTTTCCGAACATTAAACGTTAGGAAGCAAGGTCACATGGGGAAATGTAGGGCCGAACTTGGGGGACGCTGGGTGCGTCCATGCGAAAGCACTAGATGAAGATTCTGGCATATTATTCTGTTCTAGGCTGGGACCCATAACTGAGTTAGGGGGTCGTGTGGGCAAAGTGCTAATGCATTGTGCGAATAATTGTCTCAGCCAATACTGGTAAGTGCCGTTTTCCTCATCGGTTTGAGGACACGAATTCTGGTGTGGGTTATAACCAAATTGGTGGATCAAATGTTGTAGATTATTAATTTCTTCCAATTGTGCTGCTGGTGGTATATCTGATCTAGACCACCCACTTTTATAGACGGAGTCTATCAGCTGAACAAACGGCGTCCAATGTTTGTCAAGGTCACAAACGGTGTTAGAACCTTCTGCGACCGAAGTGGCCGAGGAAAATCCACAAGCATACGGCGCCAGAAAACCTGCATGTGAGTCTTTCTGGAAGCTAGCTAGGGGGACAGTTTCATTAGGTTCTCTGAAAGAGCTCAACAGATGAATATACACATGGCGACACAGTTCGATAGCAGTAGCAAAGTTAAGCCCACATAGCAAGCATTGCGTGCTACTGCTTGCTTGCACGGAGGCGTGCGACGGCTCAGACCGTGATGTAGGCTTGTACCATTGACATACATCAGAAGTTTGATGTGGTGATGCGAACGGACCACCGAAGGAAGTAAAGACTTTTTCCGTCGCAGGTTCGGATCCGACATTTTCTTGCTGGGGACAGAAGAAATCGGTGTGGGGATGTTGGGAGTTAGCCGGAAGTTTGGCATAAAATAAATCAAGGAATTTTCTTGCCAAGGTGTATAGAAAGAGGTTTTGCTGCGGAGGTTCTTTTTCTCCGTATTTTCCTGCCTGTTGAACAATCTGATATAATTCACTCCAGAATCCTCCGAATTCAGAACTGTACCCATTACTGCTGGAGTGGACACTTACTGGGCTCGTTGCTGGTGCGTAACAGTTAGCGATTGGTTTGTGGAAACAACTGGTGGCACTCGAAAATTCCGGAGATCGCTGATTCAAAGCAACGGAATCATTTGGATGGAGAAGTAGAGCTGGCATATTGGAGTTAGAGACATAGGATTTGCTGGCCCTGATGGTGCCCCGATGATGGCGCTTCATTCCAGCCTGTAGACGTACCACATCGTTGAATGCACCTCTATCCTTCAAATCTAGTTGATCTGACTGATTACGTACCAGCTTTGATGATTCAGGAGCGACTAAACTCGATGAAAGACGGGCCAGCTGAGCCAAAGCATTGGATGTTGTCTGTCTGGTATCAGCGTTGCTAACTGTATCTGTAGCATATGCGCTGCAATCGCTTTGTAATTGTAGCATACGCTGACAACAACCAGACTCTGGACTTGGATACGAGTGGGAGAAAGTTTTTTGATCATTGATGGGATTTTCTAGCCTTGATGACGCACTGCGGCATTCAGGTGATTCGTTTCTATTTGACGTGGGTGACATTGCACTTCTGTCCACTCTGGCACATTTGGAACGGCCAGGTGTTTGCCGTTTAACACCCTGCAATATTTCTGTTTCGGTTCTCGTGTTGCAAGGCTTGGGTTTTTGAACCCTACCGACAAGGCTGACCCGATTGCTTATCGAGACTGTGGGAAAGGTGTTTTGTTCTTTTGAATGAAAAATTGACGAATGACTCACTCTTGGTCCACTCTCAAGCATTTGTCCAATATTTTGGCAGGTTTTGGCAAGAAGAGCCAGTGGACTTGGACAAGCTGCTTCACACTGAAAAAGTGAATAAATAGTAGCAAACGTTAACTATTGCTAATGAATTTGGAAAGAGCAGAGTTGGGTACAAACCAATAGGAAAAAGCGAGCCATGGTTGAAAAGATGGGACCAAATCATGGCTCAGAACTTCGCGTACTTCTCCATAATTTCTATCATATGTTGGTGATTGCAACCACCGACCGACAAGTATTCTCCTGTTTCGGACATCCACCCAAGATTCATGTCCATAGATGACGTTCATCAAGCTGGCTTCACACTGTTATCAGGCACCAGTCACCGAAAGCTTTGTAGTGATTTCTAATCTCTCGTAATAGTTGGCTGCCCACAAGCAAAACATACCACCTACTGGCAAGGCAAGGAAATTGAATGTACTAACCCAGTGGTACGGAGCTTATTCGAGCTATTTATTAATTGGTACCTCTATCAGTATGAAGTGATGTTAGCGGTAACCTATACATACATAATGCAAACAGTGCCATAGGCCTGATCACTAGCAAAGCTTCAGTTAGACGAAAAGAAAAGGTTGATACTCAAATTGACGTACGGGGCTAAACAAAACAACGAAATAAAATAGTCTAGAAAATGGCTTATAAAATGGGCGATATTCCTATTATTCTCTGTTATTTATGTGTTAAAATCTACTTCTCACTATGATAACTTGCGGAAGATCAAAGTGACTGGTTTGGATATGCCATGGACGGAGAAAATGTGATTTTGCGTCTGCTTGTCCCGATTAACTAGGATGTTCAGAAATAGTTCAGTCCTACCTTCCTCGGCTCCCAATTGCCCATGTGCCTCAACCCATAACCAGTGTCGTAGTATCTATGGTCTTCGGAGCGGTTTTGATACATGCGATAGAAAGGGATAATCACTTAAACGTGGGTGCTGTTACTGCGCTCTTCCATACTTTAATGAGTATTTTCAAAAGGCGTTTTATTGCAGGCCAGGAATAGTGCAGTCTACTAACTGGTCTCTAAAAACCGGCTTTCTAGTGCTGTATCAGAGCAGCTCCTAAAATGATATTAGTACATAAGTTAGACAATGTATTTCTCATAGTATTTCAGTGTTTAAATTCCATACATTATCTGCAGTCGTTGCATATGTTTGCATAGGTAAAACCATATGAAGAAACTGACTCAGAGGGTCTGTCAAGTGGATACATGTAACCTTAGTGTGTGGATGTCACGTGATCTGTCACGTTTCTGAGTAGAGACATTTTCCGGTGAGGCAAAGTCGCAGGTTGAATGGACAATCTGCTGGTTGAAAATTCCACCCAAATAATTTACTTGCCTATGTCTGACTTAACTGTCGAGTTTAGGTTAGTTTAAATCATTGCTTTTCATTATACCTTGATGGTAACTATCACCACCATCATCACCACTGCTTCGGATCATTACTGCTCAACTGAAAGGAACCAAAATGACCACGTGGTTTAACACGTAGGTCCAAAATATTTCCCCAATATTCATTACCTTCTAGCGAAGAGAATATGGAAAACCGCGGAACAAAATAAAATTGTGTGAACGTATCTGAATTCGTCCTTCCTTGAACGTATGTTAAATTACCCATTTAGGCAATATGTGTGACATCCAGACTGGGGTGATGTGGATGGAACTACAACCGCTAGTTTCCTGACTGTCTCAACTCCTTTCTTCCCTTTCCATACGAATAATTGTATAATTGTTGAACTAATAGTTGGCTGTTTCAACTGGGAATAATCAAATCATAGGGTGGCATCCAGCCAATACGGGAGTGAGAAACACGTCATAACACGAGATCAACTATTCAACGAGTAGGTGAACGTAGACTAATCCAGGTGTGAAGGAATGTTACTCCCGTGCATCAAATGAAATTATCTAATAATACACATTGAATCACGTAATCTGTTTGCTTGACAGATAATGTAAGGAACATAAACTTTAATTAAGATGCGGAATTGCCTAAGAATGACAGCGCGCAGTTAATTTGCATAAACAGAACATTAGCTGCTCAACCGTTTAATTAGATGTCACCATTCTTTCTCTTGGACTGGGGAACTCTTTTCACAAACTTGAGAATAAGTGTCCCGTGCCGCACAACAAACCTCCAAGAGATAGCACATATCAGTTCATAGGACAGCAGTCCATCGCGGCCGTAGTTTGAACACGCCAAAACTATACATCCCTAGCAATGGCATGCGTCGAATGCAGACATTCATAGGTTGTTCGGTGTAGGATTGCTACAAACCGGCATGATACTGTTTTTCCATTGGTTGTAATAAAACCGCAGTAGTGCGATACCTGCAATGGAATGGCTGCATGACTGGCTAAGAACGCTTGGAATAGTAGGATGTTAGATGGAGAAGGTAGCATATGCCATCCATTATACATTACATGCATTATGTATATCGCATACACATTAGCCATATATTTATATGGACAATTAATCAGAAATAAGCCATACTGCATGAAGTCTGAAATGAGTCAGCTGAGGCCACAACACAGTTGATGAACTAGCAGTTATTACCAAAATATGTTGCGACATGGCTCACATGCTGGTCACAGAATTTTTGTCAGTTTGAGGACAAAGATGACATTAAGATTATGTGCCTCCAGTAAAAGTTGCTAGTTTATAGGGTAACTGCTGTTATTACGCTGGTGTGTAGAGAGTTTCCACTTAGCTGTGAAACCTTTTACTAATCGTTTATTAGGACCATTATCCAATGGAGCCAATATGGTAGCTGGATTAGCCAGTGTTGTTTAAAGCAAACTAGCGAATTGTTTTGACATATTTTGAGCAAATCGATCCGCTGCACCCATGGAGTGCAGACATATCAAAACGCAGCCTGAAGAAACGCTCATGGCTAATATTCAAAGAAAATAAGATTTCATACTTAGAAATTATTAACTTAGTCATCAATTGAAATGCATTATCCACATGCGTCAGTAACAATACACAGGCAACAAGCGACCATTATCAACAACACCGTATAGATTAAACAAACTAACATCCGCAGTTAAGGCATTCTACAATTAAATTCATACCAATGATCACAGACTTCATAATTGCTTACAGTATCCACCAGATAGGCAAAGGGTAACCAACGATAAGTATTTCGGTACACGTTGACTGGGTTACAGCAAAAGATTAGTCATTGCATTGTTGCGCATTTTACATAAGCAACCAACGTTTCCACTAACATGTTACCTAGTGCAACAAGTAGAATCGTTGTCACTGCCCATTGTCCTGTTGTTACGTCGTTACGTTCCTTTTATTTGAACATCCTAAATTGATCGATTTGCACTGCTAACCTCCGACAGACCGTAGTGCATCGTAAACTTTCGGCGCCCAAAGGAAGTTAACCTATCGTTGTGTAAGTTTCATAGAAAGACCACATTACTGTCGACGTGGATAGCAATCAGTTCTGAGTGATGCTCGCAGTGGGTGCACGCGTACACGGCACTTGTTAGCGCATCCGTGGGCGGGATGGGAGAGGCCAACAGGGCATGCTGCAGCACGCGACTGTAAACGCTAACACTGATCTACTGCAAATCCACCTCCGTGGCGGTAACCAGACTTCTAAAGCCCAAGCGAGTGACAGATGTCAGTCAATATTTCATGATTGGCAGTGTAACGGGATGAAAATTTCAGGAAAATTGACAACTTCGTGGGGCGTTCTTGCCCTTATGATGGATAGTTGCTTGTGCAACTGAACACAGATGAACTCATCTAACTTTTTATTCGACAAATATAGATAGCAGTCCAGTGAACAAATATACTGTAGCAGCACCTAATTTGCGTTCAACTGCAACATCATTCTTAACCCAACGTGTCAAAAGTATAACTTCCGTACAGTTAATATTTGTGCAATTACGGATGGCCAACAAGATTTTTAGTAACCCGTCATTCAATGGATTGTTGGTAATTCCTGAAAATTATGCCGATGCGGATTTTAATTAAAATAATTGGATACAACAGTCGAGTAAGTATTAAACAGTGGATAAGGATTTGTGACGGGTAAAAAAGCAGTTGCTTGACAAGTCCCGCAGGGAGGTTGGGGAACAACTACAAGATAAAAAGATATGTAAGTTATCTGTTTGAGTGTTTATCTAGCAGAAATGCTGCTGAAAATTAGTAGCGTAGGTGAAAATTGAATACGAACGACGGGACAAGATGCGTACAGTTATATTTCACACACTCCGTGAGAAAAGCAAAAACATGTGTACAACCTGCTCAGGTTTATGTCACGTGTTAATCCTGTTTCAAGGGATAATTGATATATCCCAAAGTAGCACAGTTTACGTAACGAAGCGATGGGGGCCACGGGCGAGATTCAATGGTTTGATGAAGATATCCATGGTTGGGGTGGAAACAACTAAGTTTGGGAGAGAGTTCAAGGGTTGGCAAACCCGAAGATAAAATTAATTCTGCCGGCTATACTGTGCACTTACTTTCAGAGAGTAACCTATGAGATTAGTGTTATGACTGGGTTTTAGTAAACGACGGCACGCTTGATTAGGGTCACTCAATATTTGATAGACTATTATGAGATTGCCGCGCAGCCTTTGGTGGCGACCACTGAAAACTGCCAGTGAGTTTCCCCTTTAATGGTAGGACAGATTCCGTAGGCCGTTGACGTTCTTTGTGGCTCTGCGTTGTGGTTTCTCTAGCACTTTTAAGTCGCGCATCGACCAACGTCGTAAAGCTTGGATGGTGTATTCAAGGTGAGGGTGAAAGTAAGGGTTGTGCATCATGAGGAAGATGGATGAGTCAAATATTCTGAATGCTCTCCGAATAATCCGGCGAACTGGTTGGCTCTATTCGCAGCTGTCTTAGATTGCTTTGAACAGTTAAGGTCACTTTGAATGAGTACATCAAGCTCGCGTTTTTGGAAAGTGGTTTGCGCATACACGTAGTCATGCATTTGTAGCAACTGATGTGACGATTTTCCATATTGAGCGGTAGCGTATTCAGAACTGACCAGTTTGAAATCGTGTTCAGGTCACGCTGTAGCTTT